GCCCAGCAGGAGTCTACAATCAAATGAGAATAGACTCTAATCAGCCACTGATCTTTTGTAGGCGCTGTGCAACTCTATAGCCTATAGAGATGAAAAGAATCGCAAAATTCGCTTTGGGACAGCACGGATTCGAGAAGAGGTCAGTGGATCCTTGACTTGGTTTGTCGCTGTGCCACAAAACGGAAGGAGTGTTTCAACCCACTTAAGCTTTTTTAGTTCCAAATCTGCTTCGTTCGTGCACTCCAGTGGCTTAACTAATTGACATGGAAAACGCCGACAACGCACCCCTGGAGGCTCCTTCCTAGCATGCTCGCCGCAGCTCGCGGATCAATATGCACATATACGGAATCAGAGCCAATTACAACATTGGAGATGGAATAATACATTTGGCTGAGCCATATATTAAGGACATCCATGCAAAGTAGAGGTGATCTCTTGTTTATTTGGTATGTAGTTTCTCAACTTAGTCCGTAGTCTCGAGCAAGATATAAAGCGCAAGCATTATGCTTAGCTGCACGCTAACTGAAAGACGTCTTGCAGCATGCCTGAAAGCACTGCATGAGCCGCGCACATCATTGTCACATGGCGATGTACACTACTACTAATCAGTCGTTCACAGTAACAACACTCTGTATAGTCTTAGCTTGTAACGGTGGATCTATATCTTGTGACCATGTAGGTGCTCTACAGATCTCGAACACAGAGGGGACATCTCGATTGGTGACTCAGGCAACCTCGTTTGAACCCATCTAAACAGGAAGATGTGCTGGAAAGGCGCTATGATAGTTGCCATGAATCAATCTTCTTGATAGACTGGTTAGTTGCCATTAGCGAGTACCAATATGGTCAATGTACTGCCTTGATCATGAAGCTGATTAAAGAACTGGAAGCTGAAATTGTACCTGGCTAAGTAAGTGGAAAGCCACTAGGTCGTTTTGTGCACAAGACAGCCAAAAAAGCATTGCGCATTATTGGAGGCCAAAGAGGGCCACATGTCACCACATGTGCGCCATGGGCATACGGTCGGTCCGAGAGTTGAACCCGCGTCCCCATGCGGGACAATCGTCGGCTTGTAGTACGGTCTAGGAGTTTCACCCCAACAGCCAACCGGCGGTGCATTTACTAGCTTATTTTGGAAAAAATTGCGAAACCGCTGTGCGGTGTGTAAAGCTCGGTTTGCTTGCTGATTTGCCTCCATTTGAATATATTTTGCCCCTGCCTTGAGCATATGCGCCTATCGCTGAAACATAGCTTTATGTATTCAACATTGCCTCTCGAATTTCTCCAAGCGTACTCCTACATTTTTTGCACATCGGACGGCTAGGATATTAGTAGTGCCTGTGCTTGATGGTGAAGCCCGGCCGGCAAGCTCGCAGCCTCTCTACCGGGTACTCTTAAGCAGTATCCAATGTGCGGAAAGCTACCCGGTACTTAGATAACTTGCAGGTAGCCGGGGCCGAAGTTGAAAACGAAGCATCGGACGGCTCCTTTCCTTCTATTGAGCAAATGTAAGAAACACGGCGCCCGTCGCGCGCGGTGGAATGCGCAGCGCCGAGTTCTGCTGCTCGCGTGACTGGTCACGTAAGCCACGTGATCCACATGTCCCCAAAAAAAAAACAGCAAAAGTTCGTCAATCGCCAGAATCCGTCGGAAATCCCAGTCGACGGGTACCAAACCTATACACGGGCAAAATGCGCATTCGACGTACAAAAATACGCTCTAGACTGGATCACTCAGTTAAGCTCACTTCACGGGGTTCCCAAACGGGCGGCGGCCGCGCGTCGCAATGTCACAGTGCGGCCGGGGCCGCTGGAGCGCCGAGCCACGTGAGCCACGTGAGCCACATGTCTCCAAAAAAAAACATCAAAAGTTCGGTAATCGCCAGAATCCGTCGGAAATCCCAGTCGACGAGTACCAGACCTGAACAGGGGCAAAATGCGCATTCGACGTACAAAAGTACGCTCTAGGCTGGATCACTCAGTTAAGCTCACTTCACGGGGTTCCCAAACGCCAGTGCCCCAGAGAGCTCGTTTTTAATAAATTAAAAAACCGAGCTAAAAACAGATGGATGTCGCGGCCGCCTGTCACGTGCCAAAACTGAGTATTGAACACATTGCCGCGTCAGCTTAGTAGCAGCACGAACCTGCTACAGTGAAGCGCCGGGCGAACTCGAGAAGGGACACTGAGGGACATGACTCAGTTGAATTTAGTCGATTGAAGAATTGAAGAGTTTTGTCAAAGCCAAAGAGTCGAGAACGATCCCAGCTAATAAGATCCCTAAGATAAGATCCCTAATCTTACACTGTCTTGTACAAGCTGTTGTTACTTTCAGTGAGTGAAGAACAAACTCTGATTTGAGGGAAGTGTCAAGGGCTAAGCCTTGATTGGAAAGCCCCATTGATCTGCAAACAGCAGTCTCCTCCTATGGGTAAGAGGTTGTCGAGGGCGGGGTCGAAAGGCGAACCTGGGTCTAATGCTAGACCCTTAGCATTAAGGCACGAAATGTGCTAAGGCAGGGTAGGTACGAAAGAATACGCTTAGAGTCAAACCAATTGGAGTTCATGGAAGTGGATGGCCATCCAGGGACCTTTTCGAAGCAAAGCAGTCCCAGTGCAATCGTTGGTCGATCACGAACCACGTTAGATCAAAGCGACCTAGTGCTATCTGTGTAAGTGCGATTCAACAAGCAAGGTGTAGAGTGCTAAGCTAGTCCCCTTGCTTTGCGGACGCCGAACCAGGGTCGGTTATCAGCCGAGTCCGTACGCGTGTAAGGTGACCTGACGGTGCTCGATGAGGGGAAGCTCGCATCAACGTACTTAGAGAACGTACGTTTCCTCAAAGCTCACAAAGATGCCAATCACGCAGAACTTGAGCGAAAAGAAAAATGAACGTTAAACAAAGGCTGCTTCAAAGAGCTGAACGGTGATGGGAGTTGGAACCAAGATTGTCGGGATGCCCGAAAAGCGAATTGGTAGCTTCTGGTTGTGTTGTCGATGCAAGCAAGCGGTGCGTCTTCAAAAGACTTGGACTCTTGCACCCCTTGAGACGAAGCTGTGCTTAGAGTGCTTATGTGCAGCATCAATTGAACCTTAGCACCTCTGAGCTCTACCTCTAGAGCTAGGGACTGGTGCAAGCAACGTCAAGTGAAAACAATCTGCAGGTACCTAAAGAGCCAGGCTCTCTGATCGACATGAATGCCTTTCACTTGCACATGGAATAGTGAATTACCTTCGCTGAAGCCTGGTTTATTGCTCGTGCGCCACGAGTGTCAGGTAGCTTTGAGGCGAGCATGTTTAAACGGCCGGGAAGTTTCTGGTCTCGGGAACGTCATTGTTAGACGCCCGTACTACACCCTCATGTCCGTAATATCAAGAGAAGTTTAATTGACAGGGTATGCTCATTCACAGTTCCAACTAATTGTCGAGTAAAGAATGTAAAGAAGCCCCAGGACTGGCGTCAAAGATTGCTTCTGTAGCATTGACTACTTGAAAGAAAGGAGTCTGGAGCCCGTGATTGAAGTTCAATCCGAGGGTTGTTTGACGTGCACTTATCTTAACCTCTAATCGTGCTACCCCCAAAACTCCTCACCTTGTTCGGGCCCGACAATGCAGTAACATACGAAGCTTGGCGGCAGGGCCCTATACTTACCCCCGAGGAACTCATAACAAGTGGGGAACCTTTCGTTGGTTAGGGAAGACAGCTGGACTCTCGAAGAGTGCAAACATACATCCCTTCAGGCAAACGCAACATCGGATCCGACGGGATCATCTCAGGGAACAAATGATGCTCATGCGGGCTGACGTGACGGATGCATCTCTGGGAGGCCTCCACTCCAGAGTGGAGGCCGTTGTTTCCCTGGCTCTGACTAGTAGGGGTCTGCTGCAAAGAAAAGAACTATAGTGGTCTCCATCAGCCTCCATCCAGCTCATGGATGAGAGGGCGTCGACGTCTGGGATAGTCTGGGAAAACTTCGCCAGAGAACATTCAACGATTTTGGAATTACGTAAAGGCAGCTCATCTCGAAATTAAAGATCGGGCGTTTGATTGTCCGGAGAATCAAACGGGCCGATCGGAAGTATCCTCAAAGGACGGGAAATGAGGAGTGCGCTGAGTACGTTGTCGTGGACCATAACAAACCAGTGGATAGTCATGCAGGCGCCATCATCAGGAATTATACCTTGAAGGCCGCCGAGCAACTGGAAGTCGACCCCAAGATCAAAACTACGTGCTCATGGGAGATACTAGCAATACGCTCATGCGAGTTTGAGACGTATATTCATGTTTGCTTATGTCGATAAGCGCATGCTAAAAGAAAGCGCCAATTTCAGAACATAAGTCTCCGTCATGCATGTCCAGGTTACTGTGCACGAAGGGCTGTATCGAAACTAAGTTTCTCCCCTCGGCCAGGATGATGCATGCCTAGAATTTGATAGCCTGTAGTCAATTGTATCTCGCATAGACTTTGAATAAACAGATTCGGATCAAGATTTAGATCCATGCCACACTGTGTCAGTGTACTGGCGGCAAACAACCATACTGTATCGCATTCTTGACAACCTTGCTCGACTTTGCAGGATCGATCAACTCCGGGATGCCGTACATATGACCGAGCAAATTGGAGCGAACATTATTCGTTCTTGCCGAAATGAAAGTCTCTCCTACAAAAGTGGGGTCTTCCAAATCAACATCAGGGCCCACATCGCCCTTTCACAGGATAGTTAATCGACTGTCAACACGGCTGCAGTGAAGCTTTCTGCGGTGGCGATTGGCGATTGGCAATTGGACGACGATCTCCCAAAGTAAAGGACTTATGTAGTCCTACAAATCGACTCAAGACTTGAACGACTCGACTATACATCAAGCGGTTAAACCGCCCCAGTACGTACCTCCACGAGGCAGACGCCTTGTCTTTCCACTATAGGTACCGTCAAGTTTGCTCATAGGGAGCCCCAAAGACACCTAAGGAGCCCAACAAAGCAGCAATCTTGCTAGGGAACTCTCTAAAGTGATCCATCTTCCTCTTGACCCTCATCCGGCCTCCTCACAGTCCGCACTTGGATGTGGTGTGTGGATTCGGACCGCCAGATGGGCTGCCGTCCGCTCTGGACGAGAGCCACGTCCTCACCCGGCTTCACCATGCCACGTGTCTGCAAACAAGTGGAAACGTATCAACCTTACTCTGGGCCATGCTTGAGATTCGTCCGTTGGGGTCAACAAACGCACAAGAATGGAGAATCCTGTATTGGGGCCAAAAGGGTGAACTAAGCCCAAAATACTAGACCCCCAGTGTCGACGAGCAGATTGCGTCACAGAGTCTGCCAGACCTTTCGGGACGGAAGTGATTGAATAAGAGCAGCATGTCTCACGGAAGCTATCGTCATTGCTACGTAAATAGACGCCAAGGAAACACGAAGCACGTGTGTCAGACGGGTGAAGCGGGCCGAACAAGGGAAGATGCAACGGCACCAGAAGGAGTATCATGTGTTCACCCTTACCAACAGAATGTTGATGGCCTCAGTGAACGTCTCCTCTGCATCGGAATGGAACTCCAGGTAGAGCGCCCTCACGCCGTGGTAGAGGGCCAGGCGCTGCTGCACCCGCTTGCTGTACGACAGAAAGGTGAAGCTGAGTCAACCGAACGTTGCTCCTCTGGATGCGTTTTCACACGAAGAATCTACGCAGGCAAGTGTGATCATTTCCATAGATATGTCCGTCTTCTTCACAAGTTTGCACCTGAGACCGTCCCTAAGTTAGTTGAGGACTCGCAAGTTTGGCAGGTCTTTGGAAACTGGAAATGGAGACAGGAAAACCGAAGAGGCAGCTGTGAAATTCCACACAACAACGGAGAGGGGCGGGGGCACAGAACTTCTCAAACAGCTGGATGTTTTCAGGCGGACATGGACAACAAAGTCCTCGTATCCTGTGTGCGAACGGCTCTATCGTGATCCTTGTTATGGACACCAGGCGGGCAATTGCCTTGTCCATAAGCCCAGAGAGCTGCTGGGACCGAGATCGAATTCCACAACAAATGCTTTCCCCTAGCATTTTGTATGCTTTCCTCTTGGATATGTGTACAGTATGGCTGTATTCCTGGTTGCAAGTCTTCAAAACTTTCCACTCTTTATGGTCTTACGATACAACGAGTATCCTAGGGAACTATCTCATCAGCTTCTACGAGTAAGGATGTACCCCAAGCCTTTTCATGTGTACAAGATGATGCTCTGCATCTAGATCATAAAGTTGCGGCTCACTCATTCGTGAAGGCAAAGGTCGTTCCCACGGGACGGTAATGCGAGAGCAGCATGGCCATGAAGCCGCTCCGTGTGAACACCAGGATCGAGGCGCCCAGAGTGTTTGACATGATGGTCGCGTGGAACGCAAACATCTCGCTCATGTGGTTCTGGAGATAGGGAAGGAAGATTCGACGAGTGAGCCAACCGTTTTCGTTGGGAAGATTAAGTGAAGCGGACAGATCCACCATGATTAAAGATGGAAGGCAAATCCCTTCACGGGTGCGCAGAATAGCTGTCAAATCAATCGATCGATCGTGGAGACAATTTTCGGCAGGGAGGTTGAGAGGAGGTTCAGGATTGACTAGTGAGAGAGAGAATCTTGTTACGCTCGTGACTTACATTCCCAAAACAGAGCGCCATAGACTCAATTATTAAGAATGTGCACTGCAAAACAAGACATGACGTCAGCCTGAGGCCACTGACCTTGAACGCCCTGCCCAGGTTGGGCGGTGCGTGCGTTTCGGGCATGGTAGCCTCCGTCCTCATGGCGACGGTGTGCATCACCTTGACAGCTTTCAGAGGGTACTTGCCATGGGCAGTCTCGCCTGAACAAACACCAGAAGGGTGAGCAGGGGGGTGAAGCAGGACCATAAACGCCGTATGGCTTCAGCAAACCCCCTGCGGTTCAATCTCTTTTGAGGTTAACAGGGTGACTATGGGGAGGATGGTGAGAGAGATATCAGTTCTCTTCTGACATGAAGAGCAGAACTTCATATCAGGGGGGGAAAGGGAACCCCGGTATCTGTTCGTATCTTACATGAGAGGGGAGGATGACGGACTGGAGATGCATTTTCGAACATTCACTGTGGATAACTACGAACCACCTGCGGTTTTGGGAGTAATAGCACTGAGTAGAGAAAGCACGGCAACTTGGAGAACCATTGGGGGTACGAGAAGCAGAACTCCCATGACACAAAAGCGCTGCCATCTGATCATCTGAGCATAGGCCAAATCCTCTTCGTTCGGAAGTCGCCCAAACACTCAGAACAAGAACTGGCATGTATGGCAGTCTTTAGCACTTTTCAAAATGTCTCTTTCCGCCATATGAAAAACTTGCACCACTTCCAGACCATCTTCCAGAGTCCGCCACCTGTAAGTCGCCTGACCGACACAGCGCCTCCTGCGCAAATGGGAAAGAACCCATCCGCAAAAAGATAGACAACCATCGAGGAGACACGAAGCTCCCGCAGATTCGTAAGGGCCTTTGTGGGCAGGCTCGAGGCAAAGAGAGCGCCGGAAACACGACCCCGGCTACCAAACGGATTCCAAAACGACAAAAGCTCATAACAGAAGAGCTGCACTAGAACAAGGCCTCCGGAGGGGGCGACCTTCGGAAAGGTTCTCGGCGGGCTTCGATGCACGGAACTGCTTGTTCAGACAGGAACAACGAAGAATGGCAGTCATGATTGGACGTGCCCTTCGATCTTAGTGTCAACGAAGGAAATCGTATGTTAAGGGCTGGCTTCTGAAGCTGCTGGAGTCCGTGGCCGTATCACCAACATGCACGCTCATCATTGCCAGCGCCTGCGGAAGCAATGGACCATAGGACTTGCGACTCCTTACTTGGTGCCACAGAGATCAAGAGGCGGCTTCTAAACTCTATGTCCAGGGGAAAGGAGTTAAAGGAAGCTCAATGTATGTTGCAAATCGCGAAGCAAAAGGACAAAAAGGGAGACCTCGGATCCGGTAAAGCTTGGGAGACGGCCGAAGTTGGAACGGCTCCGTCGATCAATGCAGAAAGGCTACAAAACCCCAATTAATGGAGGCAGTCAGTGTGACGGGTCAACACCTAAAAGCCGTAAGAGTCTCGAGCAGTGATCCTCACATGTTGGTTGCCGCTACCTTCCAGATCCAGTCAATGCATTTCAGGCAGGCTCCGTTTCAAACGGCTTCTCTGTTGCCAATATAACAACAGCACATGAATGACGCCAGCTTCAAGAGCTAACTCAGGTATGGCTGGAGTGCCAGTTTGTAGATTCATCGGTGCCAGCAGGCATGATCGTGGCAGTCAGTTGCATTGGAGAGTGCAAAACTTGAGAGTCAATACGGAGCCCGTTCTGATGCGAGTTGGATTGGGAGTGTTCTTCCAATGAGAAGCTCGTCCGGAGTGAATACCGGAGTGAATACTTATCGCAGAAGCATCCTCCAATATCCCTCGCAAAGATGAATCTCAAGTATCCCAGGAACGAAGGTAAACATCACCCAGCTTCCTTTGTACGCACGCTCGTGCGTCTCGAAACATCTTTCCAAAGTGCCTAAAGACGATGTTTTAGACAAGCTCACGAGCCCAGTAAGTGTTGATCAGCACATATTGAGGGTCACAATCAGTCCCCAAGCAGCACAAGCCCCCTCATAAAGCACGCCCTGATTTCACCGACCTTAAGAGGAAAGTTCACAGCAGGCTTCTCAACACAACAGACGTGAAAACACGTGCTTGAACTTTCCACTCAGCATCACTCTATCTGGGCCCCAACTCCCTCCCGCCAAACAAGAATTTTTGATCTAAAGCATCACCCAATCAAACGCAACCCTCCAATTTTTGTACTTTTAGTCTACTTACCAGACAGCATGATTGCATCAGAGAACACAGGTTGTCAACACTGGACGATTCGGGCCGCACTATTTGTTATCGTGGGGCCTCGTGGGCAAGCTGCTTTGAGCCGTCCAAAATAACAGCTTAATTTCGGAGGTGATTTCGACCCTGAATGTGCCAGCACGTTCAGCAAGGGCGCGAACTTGATGAATCTGTAGACTAGACAGGACGAAAAGAGCTTAATGGACTAATCGCACTGAACCTTTTGTGCCCTATTCCCTGCAACTCCCACTCCTTCCCGCCCCAACTTCTAGGTCTGATTGCTCATGAATCGCTATTGCGGAAAGTCGAACCTGTAGGTGCCTCGAGTTGCTACAGTAACACGTCACCTTCAAGTGTAAGACAATGACAACTGCAGGGCGTCAGAGCCGCAGTGGAAAAGGCCTGAGCATTTCTCATCGTCGGAACTCATCATCGCCCTGGACGGCCAATCTCAGGCGAGAAAACGGAAGACATCAAGATCGCAGGCAAATCACACTCTAAGTAACCGGCCCCTGACTCACGATTTGTTACAGCCAATAAATGACTTCTAACTTTCCTTCTCCTTACCCGATAGCATGACTGCATCAGCGCCCTCTCGGACCGCGATCGCGATGTCCGAAACCTCCGCTCTAGTTGGGGCCGGATGCACAATCATACTCTCGAGCATGTTGGTTGCCACGATTACGGGCTTTCCCATGCTGCGGTTAATGCGAATAATCTCGCCCTGTAAAAGCGGGACCTCCTCCACCGGAAGCTCCGCGCCTAGATCACCGCGAGCCACCATCGCCTGCAGGGTTTGGGTTTTGGGATCAGGGTTGGGTTAGCGATCGACCTTTGCGTCTGAGTGTACCGGCTTACTTAGCTCGCAGCGGGCCACCATCGACTGCAGGGTTTGGGTTACAAAAGTAGGGTTAGCTTAGGTGAAAATCCGTACAAACGTACAGTGCAAAGATTGAGTGCTTAGTGCAGATATGTGTTGCGATGATGATCCACCAGGGAAGGGTGAAAAGATCTAAGTTTTAGGTCCCTATCAACCAAACTTAGGGGTGGAGAGGGAAAGCGAACCTGTCGGCCTGGCACTGAGCCTTCTGGTTGCATGGGGACTTGCTTCAAAATCTGGCTGCAAATCAGACTAGTGGCATGCACGGTTCCGTGCTGTCAAAACTCTGCAGCTCAAAGCTACAACTTCAAGAAAGGATGCCGACAGGAGGGATGCGGAACTTGTCAGTGTTTTCCACATAAGATTCGCAATCTTCTGCTTTGTAATAAGTGCCACTTAACCAATTTCGGTTGAGCTGGAGCGTGCTGAGAGATAACAGAGCCCTCACAAATTGGATGGGTCGCCATTTGGGCTGGGGGAGGCGAAACTCGGACAAGGCAGTTTGTCCACTTACGTCCGCTAGAATGCTTTGCGGAAATACCTTGGAGGGAAGATAGCCGTCTCATCGACGACAGACTCTAGTGGTCTTTTGATTCAATGTCAGGCTCTGCAACTGCTCCCATTTACTATCAAACCTGCCAACAGGAAATAAGCTCACAGGACAACCTCGTGGCCTAATATCTTGCCGTGTCAAGAGGTCGTTCAGGCAGAGAAGTCAGCTATGGACCAAAACGGAGCTTTAATCTGGGCCGCGTAATCCTGACGCCATTATTTTTCAAAGGTTTCACCCATTGCCCAAAAAAGGTGTCCATCTCAGAAGCCTGACGTTTCGTTTCCGAAAGCTTCCAACTGATTCGCTCTCACCCCATCTGCCGCATCCAAGATGGAGTGCAGGTTGGGCACCGAATCAGCGCTCTCAATCTTCACCAGAACCCGGATATCCGCGTTCTTTTCTGCAGGACGATGACAAAGCTGTTCGTACGCCCCTTCCAGTCCCGCACGGAGGAGACACAGCTTGGAAACCGACTATTGAGCCAGTGGGAAAAATACAGGAACTTCGACTTTCGGCCTGCACTTGATAGTAACCTCAGAGGAAAGTACGAAGGGTTATGTTACTCGAGCTGACGAATACAGGCTACCCCTGAGTATCGTACGCCTGCGGTGCCAAAATGGTGGGGGTCCTAGGACCGCAGATTGAAGCCCCTTTCTTCGTGTCAGCAGACAAAGATTGCAGGAAGATACGCCAGACAGTATGAGCGCTCTGGAACCAGCGGGCAACTTTATTTGATGGAGACTGTGTCTTTCGGAGCCCTTTATAAACGGACGAAGTATACTCATGGAGAGCAGAATGAGAAGACTAAGGGTTGAGGATGGGAGGCTAGAGTGGTTCGCATTGCATGACTTTGATCCAAGCTGCTGTCATTAAATCCAATCGTCTGCTTACGAACAGGGCCGAAAACAACTTGATGTCATAGTCACCGGTTTCGAATTTGGTTGCAGACTAGCATGGTCTGTTTCCGCAGAGGAAAGGTTTGCAAAGCTACAAAAAGAAGGCGGCGCAGAATGATGAGACATAGGTCAAGTAAGAAACTGGCTAAGTGACTGGAAAAGCGGGACGATCAAAAGAGGGGAAGAGAAGAGCAAGAGTAACAGAGGGAAGTAATGTAAGTTTGCACCGAAAATGGTAACAGGAGCGGAGGTAAAGGTCAAAGGGTTTTGTGGATCACCTCTGAGGTAGGACTTGAGCTCGTGCACGACATGGGCGTCCTTGACGAACGAGAGGGCGTAGAAATCAACTTCGTTCTCCACACCAAACTTGATGTCGTCCCAGTCCTTGTCTGCAAAGTATAACTTGATCAGAACGTAGGTTGAGAAAAGATGCAATTGCAAAGAATAATTGGTAAGAGACCGAAGAGCGGATAACCTGTCCAAGTGACATGGGAAAGTTGCTTGTTTTCAGTATCGTATCGTCCCAGTACCTCGGCATATCACAACGCCGGTCAGTAAACAAACCTGGTTTCTTTCCCATTCAGAGGCCATTAGTTAAAAAGAGTTCAAGGCATACTGTGTGGACAACAATCATTTCGCTCGCTTCCTATCGACTTCAGCCTTCGACGCCGAACCTGTTTACAGAATGGCCTTCAGACACGTATACAA